CATGACTCATTTCCACTCCTCTCCTCATCAAATTGATCTGAGCAGATGTAGAGCAGAAAATGAATATGGGCTGGTAGTGAGGGCCTGATGGACAGGGGCTTACAGGTCATTTCTTGAAATGAATGGTTGCACGAAGATCTTAACAAAAAAACCCCTGCTCAGACCCTATCCAGTCCCTTCTCCCTTACCTGTCAGGTCCCCATTGTTGCTGGGTTTTATCTTAGAGTGAGAAAACAGCACTCAAAGCCATTATTCTATTTATATCCTTTTTAAGTGTCTCTTCCTTGGGAGATAAAGAAATGACATGCCCATCCTTTCCACAGGGCATGGCACATTTGTTATTTACCCATGTCAGGAAGTCACACTCTGTTTTTTTACTAGTTATAAATTAAATAACCAGACATTAAAAGAGTAAAAACTATTGTGTTAATGTAACTGGTCTCAGTAGTTTGTGGATGCATAGCATTGCATAAAGAATTATTAATATAAGGAAGCAGCAACAACCTTCCTCAAGATCAGTGCTCAGTAGAACAATGACTCTTAGTCTTTTGGGGATCTTGGATTTGCTTGTAAATCAGATGAATATTATGAAACCCTGCCCCAGAAAAGTTCATATACACACATATGCAGTTTTGCATGCAATTCATGAGCCTCTCAGTATAGCAGTGAAGTAACTAATGATAACAAAGCCTAGTAATATCCTAACCAAACATAGGATTGTAGATGATCCTTCTGTTTACCAGCTCCAAGATAATTAGCCATTTTCACTTAAAAGCTATAACCCAGAGTTTCTATAAAATCGTAGTAAGTATAAGTGGCCTCCTGTAAGTATAGTAGTTATTCTGTGGATAGCAGCAAGGCAGAATGGTAGTAAAAAGGTCTAGAGTCAGACAGACAGAGGTTCGTATATTAACTCTGCCACTTATAAGCTATCAACAAGTCCTTCAATTTTTCCAAACTTTAGTTTTTCCCACCAGTATAACATTAATAATACCTACTTTTTAAGATTCTTATAAATATTTCAAATATTCTTAGAAATATCAACAAGTCCTTCAATTTTTCCAAGCCTTAGTTTTTCCCACCAGTATAACATTAATAATACCTACTTTTCAAGATTCTTAGAAATATTCAATGAAAAAAGCTCACTTATGCAGTCTTTAAACATTTATCAATCATCTAATATGTGACTTGCAGCAAACTGGGCATTGAGAAAATAAAGATGAAAAAATCCCTTCCCTCAAAGAGTTCTTGGTCTTTGTGCTTACAGAGCACATATAATAGGTGCTTTGTAAATATTAGATTCCTCCACTAGTGAGAATTATCGTGTACTGGAAAATGGAGAGATTGATGGGTGTGTTCATTCACGTGGACAGTGGAGAGGGAAATATATAACATAATGGGACTTAGTGTCTCATTCGTGCTACTATTGGGGGTGGAGTTTAATATGACCTTTTATATTAATGTTCTCAAACACAGACATATCAATCAATTCACTCGTCTTTCTCTTTCTTCCTCTTCACCCTGCTCCTAAGGGGAATGCCTGTGCTATGAAGGCTACATGAAGGATCCAGTACACAAGCATCTTTGCATTCGGAATGAATGGGGGACAAACCAGGGGTAAGTAAGGGGATGGCAGGTGAGCCGGTTCCCACACACCACTGCTCCCTTACACAGACGTGACGTGGAGCAACTGCATGGAAAGGAACAGAGCTAAAGGGTAGCTATATATTCCGAAGAGCGAATGGGTAAAAATGTCACTGTGCATTTCCTTATTTATACCGTTCCAGTGACGTCCGTATCATCTTTTTCTCCATTTACGAGTCAAGAGATGATGCCTCTGACTCGCAGCTCCACAGCCTCCAGCTGGGACCTGAAACTCAAGCTGTCCCTCTTTCTTGCACACCACCACCAGCCACGAGGATTCCACAGGCAGAACTTAGCTGATGATTTTGCTGGAGGCATGCGAAGCCTCATGGACTCCGGTGTAGCTCTCCCAGAGCTTGATGAGCTTTGGGAGACTGACATGAGTACAGACTTGTTTTCACCAGGACTGTCAGCAGGGGTGAGATGCAAAGACGAAGGGAGAACTCTCTGTTGAGAAAAGGGTATTTTTGTCTGACCCCCAATTACCATTTCTCATGAGACGTTTGCTTTTTCCTAAGCACACATGACTGGGACAAAGTAGTCACCTAGTCTATTGTTTTTTATTTTTATCTTTTACATTTTCTGAATGTTTTTATTGTGATAAAATTTACCATTTTAACCATTTTTTAAGCATATAACTGAGTGGCATTAAGCACATTTACATTGTTATGCAACCATCACCACTGTCCTTCTTACGTTGCTATATAAAAACAACATTCTACTTTGTTTTGGATGCTGAGAGCTTACTTTCTGCATTGGCTGGGTCATGAAGGAGGGTGGGAAGAGAAAGGGATCAATAAATGCTAACTAATAATAGCAATCAATGGAACAAGGAAAACTAGAAAGAAATCAAGGCAAAAGGCATTTTGGAGTGATTGCTTGGACTGCAGATTACATATATATTTGCAGCCTGACAAGATGGAAAAAAGAAACCAATGTCACTCCAGACATTGCCCTGGAGGACTTGCATCTCTGAGGTCGATGATCAGCCCCTTCTGTGTGATTCTGATGAGACCAAACCTAGAATATTGAATGTAGTTCTGGACTCTCAAAGCAATAAATATGGTGACAAATGGGTGAGAGTTTGGAAAAGAGCAATAAAAATGATTGAAGAGCCCAAGGGAGTGATTTATGATAACGGGATAGAAGAACTCAACTCCGAGAACTTAGCCAGCTGATGACTAAGTCAGGGCATGATCGATGTCCATAGACGTTAGAAGAGGGCAAATGTTCTGGAACAGGTTTAAGTTGAGGGATAAGGACAAGAGAGAGTGAAGTTAGGGAAAGGAAATCTGAGTCATAGGTCAGAAAACTCGGGGAAGTCAAAATGCCATGAAATGTTTTTGTTGGTGAAAATGAAGGATTGCTGAGTTTCAACTGAATTTGAGATCTTCACGGAGAGGTAGTCCACAAAATTTAGAGGAAGGTGTTTATAGAAGGTAAGTACATATGAGGTATCCTGTTATTGAAAGATGGGTGGGAAGGACAGAGAACTTGGCTGACAGATTCAAGAAAGATATGAATAAACAGTGCCATTCCCTGTTTAAATTCTACTTAATCCCCTTACTCTCTTAACCCTTGAAATGTTTGCATCTTTTCTGGGGAGCCAGAATTTTAGCTTATGTGATGGCTGAGAATCTCAGTTGACTGTGGTTCTTATTGAGTAAAATATTGTAAAGAGTGATGGATAACCACCTCTGCATCTCTTAGCCTGCAAACTTGCTGCTGAAGAAAACAACTACAAAATATCATTTCACTTTTGCCCTGAATGATACAGGCTGGTGCTCTGCAGTGATTGGATTTGGTGGCTAATCGCTCAGGCTTCCACAGCCCTAGCCTTGTAGACAGATCATGGGAGGATGGGCCTGACTTCACTTGGTAATTGCACAAGCCTTCGCCATTCCCTCTGGCTGTGTGTAGAGACAGTCTTCGGAGGTAGACAAGAGCCTCAAGGGAAATGGTGGAGGCCCCAGCGTTGGTGTCATTTAAAACAAGACAGGCTAAAGCACTAAGTTACAGAATGACAGGAACATTAGCCCCAGGAAATAGACAAGGAGACCTAATCTGTCATTTCCATCTCTAATTTCCATTATTCTATGATCATCACTGTCTACGAGGTCTCATTTTGGACACTAATAAAATAATGGAGCAACTGTTAGGAGGGGGAAAAGAGTGACTATCTTGAGGATAATGGGACTAGGAATGATAAGCAGCATGAATTTATACGTATATAGAACAGCGCCAGACAGATGACTACATATTTTCCTCATAAAATGACAAGATAAGTGAAAAGTGGAAGATGCCATACATCTCGATGTAAATTAGGGATCTGATGCCATGTTTCTTTAGATGATTCTCAGAAAATTAATCGAAATTGGTTTGAATGTGAAGACTGTCACTTGAATTGAAAATTGCCTGACAGATCGCCGACTAATGATACGTATTGGGGTGTTACGGAAAAATCAGTGGTAAGCCTGATTTTCCTGTGTGTTTTATTTAATGTCCCAGAAGGTGGAGGAAAGCCGCCTGTGTGAAGGTATCTATGTTTTTCACTTCATATTCTTGTATTGTATACTTAAGATATCAGTGGTAAGCCTGATTTTCCTGTGTGTTTTATTTAATGTCCCAGAAGGTGGAGGAAAGCCACCTGTGTGAAGGTATCTATGTTTTTCACTTCATATTCTTGTATTGTATACTTAAGATGACTGAACATTCTTTTAGAGTAGAACAGCCGAATCCTAGGCCAGTCACAGTTAAAACAAATTCCTTGTGGAAAATCGAGGTTAATGTACCTGGAGAAAAGTAGCAATAAGCATTTGTGACTTTCAGGCAAGGAAGAAAATTGCTCAAGGACACTAACACAAAATGTCACAAATGGATGTTTCTGTGAGGCAGAGTAGTTACGCCTGCAACTTTATCCAGCTCTCTGCCTGGCTCTCCAGTGTACCTGGTGTGTGTGTAGATTACATGTGCATATGTGGTGTCTGTGTGATTTTTTGTGGTGTGCGTCTGAGTGTGTGTGGGAGAGTGAGCTGGTTTATTTATTGGAATCTCTCACCACTTTACTCCATCATTTACTCTCCTACTCATTCATGTTTGCAGTAGATATGTACCCCATTACCTGCTGTGGTCCAGGGTATGTTAGGTTGCTATGTATAGAAGAAGATGTGGTCCCAGCTCCAGAAGAACTAATAGTCTACATAGATAGATGGCAGCATAATGAATAATTGCAATGAATTCTACAACCTATTAAAATACAGGGGTGAGCAAAGGTCTATGAGATTATAGTCTAAGGGGTGGTTTATGTGAGGTAAGAGAATCTGGAGTAGGGCTTCACGGAGAAGTTGGATTTTGAACTGTTCTGTGTGATGGGTAACAAAGGTAATTCTAAGCTAAGGGAATAGCATGTACAAAGGCAGGGAGACCTAAGAAGCGTGTTTTTTTCCAGGAATGGCAAAAAAAAAAAATCACTCAATGTAGCTTCAGAGTTCCATTTACAGGGACAGAAGAAGAGGCTGATAAGAAGGCGAAGACTAGATCTCAAAGAGATCTTGTTTATTAAGGCTTTGGACATTAAAGCTCCCATGTACAAGACCCCAGAATTGTTAGCAGAAAGAAATTCCAAAGTGTCTGTATATTTGGTGGGATATCCTCTCAGGACACTTTATTTTTCAGGCCCTTCATAATAAATTTAAATAATCATAAAAGAAAAGAAAACAAAGAAACAAAAATACCCCCACAAAACCTCTTAAAAAACAAATTTATTTAGTTACTTTGGAGATTATGAAGAAAGGCTATAAAAATTTTTTTGTGTGTTAAATTAAAAGTGCACCCAAGGGCCTCTAGATACATTTTTCAAAATACCACAATTAGATTAAATTCATGCATTTGAAGGTTCCTGGTAAATGATGGTCTGATTTCTTATTCTGGCATCTCGGATACAGAGGGCAACACCAAGGAGATTCTCCACTAGAGAAATAGAAAATATCGCTAGATTTAAATGCTGAAGGATGGAGACAGAGTGATAATTAATGAGATGGGAAGAGACCTGCTGTGGGAAACAAACAGGTGCTTCTCCAAGGTTTTAAATGTTGTTGTCAGGAAGGGCCTTGCTCATTAGAGCACCTCCTCCTTACGCCGCCAGCTCAGGGGACAATGCATTGACGATGACACCCCAGACAGGTGCACATGCGTGCACATGCCCACACACACTTGTACATGACTCATGTTGCCCTAATATGTGCTTCTGTCTGCACAGCTCCTCCCTACTCTCACCCTCCGAGGAGTGACTGCTTAGGAATTCTAAATCTGTTGAGGGAGCAAAAGTCCCAAACCATAGAATCCAGTTTCCTTCTCAAGCCAAGAATGCGGACTGTGTTTTCACCATGATTAACTTTAGCCCCTCTGTCTTGCTCAAAACATGTCCTTGAAGGAGGTAATTTTATTTGGACCTGCTGAATGATGCCTGGAGACGACTAACAGGACAGTGGTCGCGTCTGGTGGAGAGAATCCCTTTGCTGCTGGGTTCTGGATACTGAGACAAGACCAGCCTCCACTGATTATTTAAGAAGATCCAAAATCCATCCTCACTTCTCCTGGCCACATAAAACTGAACAAGAACCTCCTCTCAACTGTCCGACAACCAAGGTGCCATTGCTAAACCCTCCTTGGACAGTGACTGGTGTGCTAAGGTGCAGCTCTGATTCCAGGCTGAAGTCTTGGGCCATACCCGGCTTTCTTGGACCAGCCCAAAGTATTCAGAAGTGACTCAGATGGAGTGAGACAGTCCTGTATGACATGACATTTCCTGACGTTCCTTTGCCTATCATCTGGCTTTTCCTTCCCCACCCCTGCAGTTGTTTCTGGGTCACTGCTGCCCGTTCACCTTCCTCCTGCCCCTCAGACAAGGTTTGCCCACCAGGCTGCGGCTGCTCCTTTATCTCTGGGCACCTCTTTCCCTGCCCTACAGCCCA